TCCCTTTTTTATGAACCACACATGCATTGCGTATGAAATAAATTTTCACTCGAAATATGTAATTTATATGAACTAAATATGCATTTAGTATGAATTAATTATATACTTTTTTATGAACTAAATGTGTAACAATAGTCAACTAAGTATGCATTGTTCATAAACTAAACATGCACTTCATATGAACAAAAAATGAATGCTAAATATGCATTTTCTTACTAACCAAATATGCATCGTGAATGAAGTGAATTTGCATTCGAAATATGCAGTTGATAAAACGAACTATGCATTATGGTATGAACTGAATATGTATTTTTATGAAGTACACGTGCAACAATAATATTGACTAATTATGCATTGTTTATGAACTAAATATGCACTTCGTATGAACTAAATGTGCAGTCAAAATATGTAACTAACAACAATATCTTGGAGCCTTATATTGTCTTTAAGTTCTCAATTAAGTATGTAATATTTATAGCTAAAATATGCATTGTGTATTATCAAATATACACAAGAAATAAACTAAATGTGCTTTAATTATATAATATAAAAACTCAAAGGCCATATTATAGTTATTCAAACTTTAAATAATTTACCGATTGTACCCAATGATCAAATTGCAATAACTTACAAGTTTTTTAAATTGCAATTAAATCCTCAAAAATGATCTAATTTCCAAAGTTGATCCATGCCCTAAATCCCAAAATCCCTAACGTTGATGTTGCTGCTCCGCCTCCATCGGCATCCTCGCCTCCATCTGCTGCCCCGACCCCTCCACCAAGCTCATCATCATCGGAAACGGAGATGGAGACGTCCCACCGAACTGAAACTGGAGGCATGACTCGATGAGTACTCGAAAATGGAGCGTCGACCGATCCTCTAGCAGCGGCGGCACTTGGTCGTGTATATCAAATAGTTGTGTAGTTGTTTATTCAAAAAATAAACACAAAGTCTTGGGTTAGACAACCTAACCGTTAGACAGGTCGATCCACTATATTAATTGAACAAAAATGTATATTTATCTTATCAAATACCATACTTCTGTTTATGTTATTTTTAAAAGTATGATATTTGGCCCTCCATACAAATAAAGATACATCTCGGGCATGTAGCAGCTTATTAAAAAACTGTTTGAACTCCTAACAATTGTATATATAATACAGACGCGAGAGAGAGAGAGAGAGAGAGAGAGAGAGAGAGAGAGAGAGAGAGAGTAGTGTTAAGTAAGATCTAAGCAGTTCCACAGTATGCATCCTGCTTTCTACCATGCACGGCGAAAATCAATTCGTGCTAGCTACAATTGGTCCATCTGCACCTTTGATTTTGTGTAGCTCTTATATAAAAAAACATATATGAAAATTCAATCACCTGGCTAACAAGTCTATCTGGGTGTCCCGAACATCACCAAGGCCATTTTACAACAAGAGATTCGAGCAGTATGAAGTAAAGTGACTGAGTGCTGGCACAGGTTCTTAAGAGTCGTAAGAAAATCCCGCTGGTGTTCACTGGGATAGGACTTTTGCTCAGCCTGCGCTAGACTCTTTGTTGTTTCTCGTAACCAAGTCATAATTAATCGAAGCTAGCTGTGACAAGTTCTGATGGGAAAAAACATGAAAGTAAAAAATTTGTATGAGTTTGTTGATATGACTGGCATATGAATCCATTGAAATTTATCATTCAACAGGGGAGAGGGAAAAAAAATGCGATAATAATGGAATCTCATTGAAATTTACGCTAAAAAATATTAATTGAGGATATCTGATCAAGACAGGAGTCATATGGAATGGATCAACTCATGCGATCAGAATCTTCATGGCTAATGATTCTCACCTTAAACGAGAAATTGCTGAAAGAGTAATTCATCTCAAGGGTCGGACCACTAAATTCTGTCAAATGTCCACATTCATCCCCCTGCTTGCAAGGACAAGACATAGTTAATTAATTCTAAACACCAAAAACATGTAAGAAAAAGAACTAGGCTGTATTTAGTTGGATGTCCACAGTTGATCTTCCCAATCATTTCAAACGCATGGAGAGACACGGTGTAATCAAATAGGAAACGCGGCTTACAAATCCAGAACTAATGGAGAATTCGGTGGCTGTAGAAGAAGTTACTAATTGGAACCATTGTTGTAAAAGTCCCCGCCTAACTCCGATTATATACCACCTAAGCACCTATGACCACCCATATTTTTATCCAATTATTCCAGTTCGGTTATTTTTTGCACAAACCGGTTCTGGTTTCCTTTCCAAATGTATGTGTATTAACCGAGGAAGCGACTACATATGTGCAATATGCATGTTTTATATGTTCATATATACGAATCGGTTCTGGTTCTTGGTATTTAATATTCGGTTCTTCATTTTTGCATTTCGGTTCTCAATTTTTCATGATCTTTTTAGTACGTGAGTTGCAATTTTTTGACCGATTCTTAACTCAACCGGTTATTGTCGGTTATTTTTCGTAATTTGGTTACTCAAAGAACCGGGGTTCGGTTCATTTTCGGTTCCTGCGAATTTTTGTGTGTAAATCGAACCAGTTATTTTGTTTCGGTTCCGGTTCCGGTTTCTGAAAAATATGCTAGGAACTGGACTGGTCCCAGGCCTAGGTACCAGTCTACTGCCTTAGAGAGTGCCTAGCGATTTCTACAATACCAATTGAGACACATACATAATTCACTTTGGGATGTTAGTGGGGGCAAGTTGTAGGATGTATTCTGTTTCACAAGTTAGATAATATATTTTGGATGTTAGTGTAAACTTACATCTTCATCCTGTAAGTAACTGTATGTACTGCTGCTGCAAGATGCACTGCCTGTATCGGTCATGTCATCATGGTCACTACATCCATGAATGTTTTCCTCTTCCAGATTCCAAATATATCGGCTCATAAAATAACTTGTATCGTGTACGTCAGCTGAAGGTATGAATGCCGCCTGTGCCAAAAGAGAACAGTGAAGGTTCTGTGATTGTAAAAAGTTTAAGCATCCTTGTATTGAGAAGTACTTTTATAGATCTCTGTTTTTGTATAGTGCTTTTTTTATTTTATTTTTTTCTTCCTTCTTTCTCTGTAGTGTGTGTGTGCCAAGGGAAGGGGGAGTAAAGTAGTTGAGACTTGAGACCTTTTGTCTTGAGAGCGTGTCCCAATTGATGTCCTTAAAGTAGGGATGTCGTTTAACCTGAAAGGAAAGTAAATTTTTTTTTTCAAGGTTTTCATTTGAAGCATAAAAATCCAGTAAGCTTGTTCATTACCTCACCAGCTCCTGTTGCACCTAGTCTCTGAACTGGATTTTCGCTGAGCAACCTGAAATCAGCAGGATGCCTTTTCAGCCACACAGTTAAACTTTTGATTTGAGTTCAGCAGCTAGTTCTTGACTCAATGACCAGAACTTGAAAGAAAGATGAAGAATTTAATATATACTGGCACGGAAATAACTACACATTGATGGAGTAAAGAGAGAATTTTCATCACGTGACCGAGTGTAAATATTACTTGTTAAAGAATGGAATCATTCATTATTAATTTTTACCACCTCAAGAGTATGTGAATAGATGACCAACCTCTCAATATTTGTAGTTTTTTTTTAGATGCTAACACTCGTTTCTTTTAAGATATCTATTATGTAAAGTGCCAAACTTAATGATTCCAACATAGGCTTGTATGACTTGCATACATTGCTGATATCCTTTTCAGATAATGCAAAACCACCTAGAAGTTTGCTTTTAGCATTCACATACCACCTTAAAAGATGTTATTTGGAAAAATTTACCACCTGGAAGTTTGGTTTTGCTTTACACATACCACCTTAAAGCTGTTATTTGAATAATAGAAACAAATGTCAAAGGAAAATTACAATTTTAGAAACTTCAGAAGGTTTTCGTTTTCAATATATACCTCAGGAGTTGTTAGGCAATTATAAATGTCGAACTTACTTGTAAAGGAGATCATAAGCTTCCAGGCAATTTACAATTTTGAGAAACTTGAGAAGGTTTTTGTGTTCAATACATACCTCCAGGAGTTGTTAGGCAATTAGTCGAACTTACTTGTTAAGGAGATCATAAGCTTCCAGGCTCATTTCTTCTGGTACCTTGGGCCAGGGTATGTCTCTATTTATAATATTGTTGAAAATTTGCTGAAACAGAAAGAAGAGCTATCAGTACTGCCATTGACCAGTTGAGTCCTTAAAGAAGATAATTTTGAATTATCAAATATTTCGAGTTCAATAATTTTCCACTGCATTTTCATCAAGTGTCATCTTCTCAATAGGGTAAAATCCTCCGATGCTCCAGACTTGGACAAGCTGTTGATGGAAATATATGTATATAGGGGGTGGGTGAGTTGGTTAGGGGGGGAGGGGGTCGGTCCATGGAACAATGTAAAGAACTTGCTTCCACCGTAATACGTAATTTCCATATAAACCTCATTTAGCCACATTATATACCGAGTATATATCATTTGCGTAAGTTCCACACATTCAAAAGCTAGATGGAAAAGAAGTTCCGGAAGAGATTATTCTTCCCAAAGCAACTTTCATTTAAATCTTTCCATTCCACTGTCATCAAATCAGAAACATCCCGAAATACAATCATCACCACCCCACCACCACCCCAAACCTCCATTAAGTTTTCAATAAAGGTTTAACTTCCCATAAGGGCTGAAACAATTTCAACCACAAGTGCATTCATCGGCGTTCCATAAAGAATGACAGTACACATGGCATACCTGTGGGTTTTCTGCATTAAAAGGTGGAATCCCCACTAGGAGCTCAAAAAGAATGACACCCACAGACCACCAATCAGCTGTTGCACCTACAGAAGAACATACAACGTAGTAAAAGACCTGAATAATATGTATTGCATTAAACCATGCCGTCATTGAGTAAAATGATAGATAGATAGACTCCTAACCATGGCCCATGCCAAGAAGTATCTCTGGTGCCAGATAGTCAGGTGTGCCAACAACTGAATGTTTCTTCCTCTGTTCTCTCTTTTGGGAAGAGTGCACTGAGCCTTTTGGTTTATCATCTCCAAGAACAGCAGATGGTCCGGATAAGTCATCAGTGCTATTAATAAGTCCAACCTTGGAGAGCCCAAAATCTGTTAACTGTAACGGTAGGAAACATAATAATATATTATATAGAATATAAAAATCTACTGCATCATATTCTGAAAGTTCAAAAAATATCAAAGTAACAACTCATCATACACATAAATATTCACGAGGAAATATAGGGTACCTCAAAGTACTCAAAAGAATCTCATTGCCTACTGCATTCAAGAAATGCGACAATTTCTTTTGTGGAAATCATGAGGTGATGCACATGATAATACTTGGTCATTTAAGAAGAATCACGTTGGTGTGAAGAAAGCTTGTGGAAAGACGATTCAAATATGCACAAAATATTGAATACAGATATGCTATAGTTCAAACAAACTGAATGTGGTGATATTGACAAACTCAACTTTTAGTGTCGTTTCTTATATGGAAGTCAGGTTATCTAACCCAGATATATATGTAGCATCAAACTAAATGTCATCAACAAATGCCTGTTTACACAGATACATTTTTATAGATTAACCTTGATGTGACCATCTGGGCCTATCAGCAGATTGTCTGGCTTCAAGTCCCTGTGAATAACATTCAAAGAGTGCAGGTACTCTAAAGCAAGTACCTGAAAGTAACAGATAAAGATATATCAGTCTTTTTGGAATATTTATCAAGTGTGGAAGCTCCAAGTTGGTAGAGTAGCAATTGAAGCCCTTACAACTTCTGCGATATATACACGTGCCATATCTTCCTCTAAGCAGCCTAGATTTTTCAGCAAGGAGAAAAGATCTCCTCCATTCAAATACTCCATTACCAAATAAAGATTTTCCCTACAAGTGAAAGAATAGAAAAATCGGACCTGTACATCATTGGACAATGCATTAGTGAAGTAGTTTCACAAAGTTGTTACATTCACTCAAATAATAGTACAAAAAAAAAAAAGAAAGAAAGAAAAATGCTACAAGTACATAATAAATATACATAGAGGTGTACATAACACTCACATGGAACCCAGTCCACTTGATTTTTTATTTTTGGTCGGTCCCACTCAATGTGAGTGTTATGTACACCACTATGTACAATATTATGTACCTATAGCATTTCTCAAAAAATATCCTCACCACAAAAGGATTGCGAACTGAGATCAAAATATCGCGTTCCGCTAAGATACTTTCCACTGCATTTTTGCGGATCATGTCTGCTTTCTTTAAAACCTGCAACGATTCTTCTAAAATTAGAATTGACCAAAAAGAAATTATATCAACTAATTAAAGAACAGTCATACAAGCCTCGCTATCTGATAATTCATAAACCATGGAATCAAGTCAGACCTTAATTGCAAATAAGTCACCAGTTGACCTTTTTTTTGCCAGAAAAACTCGTCCAAAAGCACCTCTGCTTATAGGTTTAATTATTTCAAAGTCTTCAATGGATGTTCTATCCTTGGTACATGGATTAATAGGGCTTGCACGCAAACTGCGAACTGTATCTTCTTCTGTTGAACTATCCTCATCAGCCATGGAACTTAGTAAATCCCCCTTTTCATCATCAATCTGTCCACACAGCAGCACATATTTCTCCCTGAGGAGTTTATAGTCAGAAAAATACAAGTCAAATTGAAACTAAATCTGGGAACTGAAGAATCATAGAAAACACCAGCATGCTATTGAAAATGTATTGCTATAGTTCTTCTTAACTATAAAACTGAATCCACTTCGTACACTACATGAGACCTTGTGCTGGTTGTTACATAAACATAACATACTGGCATATTAAAAGATGCATATAATATATATAGTGTATATTATGTATATATATGCTCTGGAGGTAACAATAACAACTTATGTTCCACATTGTTCTGTAATACTTTATCTTAATTTCTTGTTTCTTCACCAGCTTTCCTGAAATGGCCATAGTATGGCAAACCAGACCAGGCTTCCATATCCAACAGTCAGTATAGAGAGAGTTAACAATCTATACATCCACAATATTTTGTAGGGAAATTAAATTATTTATTTATTACTTTTTGTTTTTTCCTTTTTCCGGTATTGTTAGCCTAGATCAAAACGTCATAGCTAGAAATTCATGACTAATAATGTTTGGAATCTTTCGGACAGGACCAAATCTCCATGTCCGGATGCTTCACGAGCTTTAAGAAGATATAGCTTTCTAATATTTCAAAAAGGCCTGATTTTAGGAAAATTGTTACAGGGCTAGACCAGAAAATATGCAAACATGAGATAAAATTTAATAACACAATTCGAATTTAAAACTCACTGAATTAGCTTCTCTATGCGCCTCCCGAAAGTCTCAACAACAAGAGCATCCACCTTTCTATCATGAATAGCATATTTTAGGTCTTCCAATTTCTCTATCATATATTCCAGTGTGCTGTACTCATTCCTGTTAATATTTGTTACAGATCTGGCAAGTTCCAGCAGCTTACGTATCTGTCGTTCAAGTTCAGGTGTACCAAATTAAACCAGAAGCAACTTACTTCAAAGAAACAAATAAAAGGTAATGCCATTTAGTAGCAAGAACATTGGAATGTGAATTTTTCTAATGTAATAGCAGGTTCTAAGTGAATCCCTGACATACCTGCTGACAACTTTCTAATTCAGATAATGTTCTACGTCCACTCAGAAGAAGCTCTATCTGATTCATTCGCGGAGTTATTAAAGGTGAACGGGGTGTCAAGCTGCCAGCGGATGATTCTTTCTTGCAATGATCAGGTGTTGGAGCTCGTGCTTCACAAGAAACATGCAACGAATTATGTAAATCATTCTCAATAAGGGAAGCTTCAACCTCATTACCATAATTCATCTCCAAATCCTCTTGTACACTTGATGTAGGTCCTCTCACGATTTCAGGACTCCTAATCCCCATCTCTGAGCTTTTCGGAGTCCACGATTCAAGTATTTTTTCCAATGTATCAACGACTCTTTCAAGGCGTTCATTCACTGTTAAACCCTTCAAATCACATCTATCAGCAATCGTACAAATTCTTGAGTGCTGCTCTACATGAACTGTTGGTATTTCAACTTCACATATTCTGCATATCAGTGAATCCTCATATGCCATTTGGTGTTGGTCCCATGCTCCCCAAGTCATATTTTGTGTTGTCAAGAATTCATCATCATGTCCCAGCTCACTGGTGGGATTATCAGGACTGTCTATTCCTTTTTTAGGTTTTAAGTCCTCCAATTTATCCTTGGAAGGAGTTTCAACAGATTCACGGCCTTTTCGATTCTTTTCAGCAGCACATGGAAGTTTCTTCCAGGAAGACATCTTGAAGCTTCCTGTAGATGAATCAACACTTGTTGCGGTGTTAACCTCTTCAATTACTTGGTATTGCTTGTTATTCAGATTGCTTTCTTCCTTTTCTTGGACCTTATAATTTTTCCGCTCAATATTTTCTCTTGCACTTATTGATGGCCCAAGAATACGCTCTGGGTACACACCAAGGTCACTGAGCTGGTGCGAAGCCAGTATATGATCTTCTTCGTAACCATTTTCCTTTTGGAACTGAACAAGCCGAGTGCAACGCGTGAGGATAAATAGGAGGCGTGTGTGCACTTGCCTCAATGTACCCATTGGTAGCTCTTGACGACGGTCATCTAGATTCTGTACAATGCTTTCACACTTCATCCAGAACTCACCGGGTGACATCTTTGAGCACTGCCTGGCAATCACCAGCAAATCCTCCAGACACTCTTTCCAATCTGGATGATATTCTGAAGTCTTCTCGAGCACGCTCACCAGATCTCCAGCAAAAATGCCTAGGTCGGCATCGACTTCCTCTTTCATTTTATCAAATTTCGACCTTACCATTACCATAATTTCCTGCAAAAAGTAATGTCTACTCAAATTGTAAACGAGCCACCGGGGAATAAATGAAAGAGAGCATAAGTTTTTACACAAGCAGAAAAAGGAGACTACATGTGAACTTAACATACTTCCGTGCGACCGATAGCTCGGGATTTCCAAAATGGAAGTGGCAGGACGCCTTTGGAATTGAGCTCATGAGAGAAACTTTTAACATCTGGTGCTCTTTTCTTGCGGCCACTTGTTAGACGAAGAAGGGCCTGGAAACGAGGGGACTGCATTTCCTTGGCTAAAGCTGCATTACAACCCTACAATAAGCACAAAGATATACAGCTAAGGTATCTATTTTGCATTAGGTTACTTCAAAAAGAAAAAGGGACAAAAATAGAAGCTCTGTAAATGCTAAAAAATGGAATAAAAACAAGATAAGTGGAAACTGATTTACCTCTGACACGGTCCTACTGGGTGAAAGAACTCTTAGTGATTTTGATTGACCCCAATGAACCTTTTTACCTACAAATAGAAAAGGCTCCTTTAAGAATAACATCATTCATCCAATTTACATATCCTATGACCAGTACGGATTTGTTTGAAGTACGTGTTAATAAATATAACAGAATTAAAACTATAACTTCCACTGGATCTGATTCGAGATTTTTAGAAATAACACTGACAGCAGTTACTCATGATATCTACAAAATTACCAACGTTTTCTTCACCTCAATTCATGCCTATCCTCCAAACGATACGGTTTTGAAACCTCCATCCCCCATTATAAGGGTTACAACCTAAACTGATGATTATTTCAGGATAAAATTACTTCACAATTAAAGCCAACGTACAATCAAAGCTGAACTAATTTCAGCATGCACTGTGACCTGACAGGGGAGCCAGCTACCAAACCCCAATGACCAAATCCCAACACACATCACATTTAAATTACACACAGAGATACAAGATAAAATGAAAATGTGTGAGAAGATGCAACTCCACCTTGATCGGCAGAGGTAGAGACGGATTGTTTAGAGGCAATGGCCATCCTAGGCCTCGCATCTGGCGCATCATCCCCTCGATTCTCCAAATTCTGTGAAATCTGAGCCTCGCCCGAGTAGTTGGCCTTCAGGAGGGGCAAGGGCGCCGAGCGCGTCCTGATTTGGTTGAGCCCCAACGTGGAGGGCTCGACGAAATTCAAATCGTCTCCGGGGAACTCGACCTCATCCGAGTGGGCCCTATGCCTCATTGGTATCGGTGGAATTTTCCGAAGTTTCAGAATCGACGGCGACGACATGTTCTGGTGGTCGTAGGGGTAATCATCCGGCGGCGGATTTGGCGAGTCGCGGCGGGGCTCGGACGACATTGTGGGCTTCTGTTCATCTGGTTCGCGATTGTTGTGGTTTTGTGTCGTTGGGGAAGAAGATGGAATGGGTTGAGATTGTATCGGATTTTGGATTTCGGGGGCAACTGTGAGAGAGAGAGAAGTTCGCGGGAAAAACGGTGCGTTGGGGAACGACGCGTACGTGTGTTCAAATCAGTTGGGATTTGTGGAAACGTGCTTCCCTCTACTAATTATTGTTACCCAAACAACGTTTGTTGTGAAAATCGAAAACGCGTGTTTCTTTCCTCAAGTAAGAAGTGACGATGGTTAATAATGTTAACTATCTTGGATATAGAATTTTTTTGCTTTGTTTAGTTTTTTTGTTTGGTTTAGTTAATTTTAAAAAATGTGTATGGTTAGTTGTTAGTGAAATTTTGAATTTATATTAAAATAATATTTTAAATTAAATACTTAAAGTTGATTTGGTGTAAAAATATGAGAGCATCTCTAATGCATTCTTTTGAAAGGGTAAAAAGTTATCCACCTAATCTAGATAGAAAGTGTGTGGATAATATATCCTCCAATTATTATGGGTCATTTCATGCTTATGTGTAAAAAATTAATGTTAACATTGTCAAACTCACTTTCTAATTTCTCACATTCTTTCTAACATGATGACTCATCATTTTGATAATTATTTGACACAAATTTTGAGCTTTTCATAAACTTGAAAAAATCTCACCCTTACATTTATCCAATAAAACATTTGAGAATTTATTTGAATACAGTATAATTATTTGATGAGTTACAACTAAAATTTAAAAAATTTATCAATAATAATGTCCTTAAAATTAAAATATTATGCTCATGATATTTGTTTGTTGAGTTATTGCAATTTTAATATTTTGTTGTTTTATTTTGAACCAATTAAAAAAATATTTATTGTGTGGTTATACATATTGTAACTGAGAAATTATTGAATAAATAATAATTTTATAAATTTGATGATATAAATAAAAATTAACTGAATCAACAAAAAATAACATCATACATATAATTATTGGAATTTGTGGTTTTTTTCTAATATACTCTTTGATTTTATTAATAATTGAATAAATCCACATATACAAATTGTATGGTTGTTGAATGGATGCATTGGAGGCAACAATTCAAATGAAAGTCCTATTCTTCTAACATTCAGTTCATGTAGATTAAACATTAATCCATTGATTGACATGTGTTCAGATTTAATTAATGTTGAAAGTTGAGCATTGGAGATGCTCTGAGAGAAATAGTGTGAAGTGATAGTTAATTAAAATTATGTGAGTGTTTGTCCTATTTTTGTTGCGTTTTTCGTGTTTATTTTATCTTTCTTTTTCCCCCATTTTAGGTCCTTTCTTTAGTTTTTAGTCCGTTTCATGTTTTATTATGTGTTTTCCTTCATCTTGAGTCTTTAGGTGTTTTTCATTTGTTTTTCCGGTTTTCTTTTGTGTTTTGTCGTTTTTGGTGTGTAGGTCAGGAGCTTCGAGCGAATTTTCTCTTCAAGAAAAGCTGGTTTTGAGAGCACAATTAGATAGATGGGTTTGTTAGTGACACGTAGCAAAAAACGGAACTCAATTCCGAGTTCGGATGAGCCCAAACGAGCCCGAAACGTAAAATGGCGCAGTGCAGTCCAAAGTCGCGAGTCGCGAGAGAAAAGTCGCGACTCGCGAGCCTACGTCGCGACTCGTATATGCCATTTGAATGCTCATTGTTGAAGTTGAACATGTTGAGGCTATCTTGTTAATGACTGTTGACCATGCTCGGTTTTAGTTTTTTTATCGTTTCTTTTCTTTTCTTTTCTTTTTGTTCGGGACGAACAAAGGTTTAAGTGTGGGGGAGTTGTTTGTCCTATTTTTGTTGCGTTTTTCGTGTTTATTTTATCTTTCTTTTTTCCCCATTTTAGTCCTTTCTTTAGTTTTTAGTCCGTTTCATGTTTTATTATGTGTTTTCCTTCATCTTGAGTCTTTAGGTGCTTTCATTTGTTTTTCCGGTTTTCTTTTGTGTTTTGTCGTTTTTGGTGTGTAGGTCAGGAGCTTCGAGCGAATTTTCTCTTCAAGAAAAGCTGGTTTTGAGAGCACAATTGGATAGATGGGTTTGTTAGTGACACGTAGCAAAAAACGAAACTCAATTCCGAGTTCGGATGAGCCTAAACGAGCCCGAAACGTAAAATGGCGCAGTGCAGTCCAAAGTCGCGAGTCGCGAGAGAAAAGTCGCGACTCGCGAGCCTACGTCGCGACTCGCGAGAGCAAAGTCGCGACTCGCGACTAAAACAGAGCCTCCGACCAGCTGCGCGACCCCACGACCCGTCCGACTCGCGACTCGCGACCTGTTCGACCCTGTTTTTATTTTTCTCCATTTTTACTCGTTTTAGCTCCGTTTTTCGAGCTCTATATATGAAAACGAACCCCCAGACCTAAGGAACAATCCCCAATATCGTTCCTTTCAATTTTTCTCTCCAAAAACTCAATATTGTTAGGATAAATTTCTCCGCTTTTCTTTTTTTTCTCTCATGCTTGGATTGTTGGACACAAAGTTATTTGGATTGAAATCTTGCAACTCTTAATCCGATTGTAAGTTTTTCAATTCTATTTTATTATTGTTGATTGGTTTTATGTTCTTAATTCCGGTTAACATGAAATTGAATCTAAGCATGAGGTAATCCATTCACCTAGGGTTAGGGATTTTGATTCTTGTTTTGAATTATGAGGAATGTGTTTTGTTCAATCTATACGAGTTGTGTGAATTATATGGTTAGTTGATTGATCACCATTCTAACCTAGTTAATCGACGTTTAGAACCGAGAGGGGAGACGTCGGTCGATTTAGGCTCGTATAGAGTAGACATGTTCGTAAAAGTATTGTCTATGTGTTGCTTGTTTGAATGAATTTATCGTTTATGTTTGTGCTCTTGTTACGAAGAGTTATTGAGCATAGCCCTCTAGACGTGTAGGCTTGTTTAATCTCGTAACCGAACAAATAAGCGTTCAACATAGTTTAAGACTTGATGAGATTTCCCGACCCCTAGACCTTCTTCTTTTTCTCTAGAAATTTAATTGTTATTTCTTTAAATTGTTTTTCTAGTTCTAGATTGTTTTAGTTGATTCCCCAAATCAATCGTGATTAGAGTGTTTAGTACTTATTTTCTTTTCGTGTGTGATCAAGACCAACGCTAAATTCCGAACCGTCTTCCTCGAGAGATCGACCCGGGGAACGAATCTTTTGATTCGGTACTCGGTAAAAACATAAAATAATTTGCTACAACATATTTGGCGCCGTTGCCGGGGAAGGCAAGTAGGATATTTGGTTTTGGTATTGGTTTTATTTTTCGTGTTTCTCTTATTCTTGTGATATTTACTTAATTTTTGTGTTTCTCTTGATTATTTGTTTATTTGATATTTCTCTTGCTTTTGATATTTGTGTTGTTGTGAATATCGTTCCGTGTTAGTTTGTTTTTGTTTTTGCCTCGTGTGCCTTTGGTTGTTTTGTTTTTGTTCTTGTGCGAGGTATTTGCTTGAGGAATTCCGATGAATCCATACGATTATTCCTATG